GACTATTCTCGTATCTTGTCGTGCAGCCAGAAAGCCACTTTTTTGTGCTTATTACCTTCTAACATTTCGAGCGACACAGATCTCGCATACCCACCAATGTCCTGGCATCCCCGCTTTATATATACCACGTGCGAATGTACCCGGTCTGGCCGATCGTCGATGTCGAAAGTGTCATGTCCAGTTTACAACAGGATATTGAGGAGAATGACCACGAGACATATGCATTGGCAACTGCGGTGGCAGCGGCGACGATTGCTCAGTTAAGGCTTGGGCAAAGTTCTCTCCCTGACAAGTCGGTGACTGCGGAAACATTTGCAGCGGAGTGTATGAAGGCCCGCAGATCCTGCGATTACCGATCAAAGCTCAATTTGAACAATGTGCGGACGGCCTTCTTCCTTCATGTATACTTCGAGAACCACCAATCGGGCGCCAGCGAATCACTGTTGTACTTGAGGGAGGCTATCACACTCGCCCAGATGATGTGCCTGCATCGAGAAGTCTCGTACGCTGGCCTTCCATCGGATGAGCAACAAATGCGTCGCCGTGTGCTATGGCTGTTGTTTGTCACCGAACGGTAAAGAATCCGCTCTTGCTTTGTGTCATTGTCCCTAACGTTCTCATAGCGGCGTCTGCATACTTCACAAACTTCCCGTAGTCTTGAGAACAGATATCTCAACCCCAGAGCTTGATGCGAATGATGAGCCCCAGGTTCTGCCGGCCTTCCTGAAACTGCTCAATCTGTTCCGACTGTTCGAACAGTCAAAAATGTTTGACATCATCGAGGATGATAAGGGAGGCTTTGAGCCACTGTCCAGCGAAGTTCCTAACCTAGACAGCCGTTTTCTCAGGCTACTGCAAGATAATTTGCAGGACGGATCAGCTTTGTTGGACCATATTTCAGACGTACAGAAGGCAGACCTTTGCGTTACCAGACATTGGATGCGCATGATCTTGTGGAAATTCTCGTCCAAAAAAAGCGCTCATGGATCTTCTACTCATTGGCCCACTTCTCCATCCTTTCCAATCTTGGTCGCAAAGGAGCTATTGAACATAGTATCGCAACTACCACGAGCGGCCATCGAAGCCCATGGGCTCGGTATGGTATGTTACTTTCAGCAGCCCCAGAGGAATGACCACTGATTGGATTTTCAGGAGTTGAAACTCTATGAAATTGCCAGCTCACTCGCCGATGCCGTAATAGACCTCGCAATGTTGCCACGGGCGCCTTCTTGGGATAATGAAAGCCGCCCCAGCAGTATTTTAGCCCGCTTACACTCCATCCTCTCCACTTTCAGAGGTGGGGGAAACAAGGAGCTAGCTGAGTTACTGTATAGAAAGATGGCAGATGCTCAGGCTAGAAGCGGCCCTGCTTTATCACCTCCAATAAGAGAACTACAACCACCAGTCAAAAGTAAAATGCTACCTGCAGCTACCACAACTTCTGCGTCAAGTGGAGAGGACCTAACACATAAACGGGCTACTACTGCAATGGAAGCTGCAGGTCCCATAGCTGACGACATCAGCCCGCTCAATAATTGGTCTACTGCCACCGAGGCTCAGATCCCTACAATGCAGTCTGTGGGCCAAGGGCATATACAAGATAGTCTTAGTCTCGAGCACCATGCGCAGAGTGGGTACAACGGTCTTCAGCCACTGGAAGACATGCTATTCCCCGAGTTTGCGGAGTCAACATTTCCTACGCAACTTGAGTCTTCTCACAGCGTCTATGACCCCTCTTTTGGCAACTTGCTACCATACTCGCTACCTCTGGAGGATGCGAGAAGTACATCCATGAGTTACCTGTCGCCTGCTTTACCCTCTGGCTCCGTTGAAATGCTGATAAACGACTTTATTTCGCAAATTCCGGAGGGTCAGTTCACACCTGAACTCAACTTTTCAAGCAATGACTTTCCAGATGCAGTCTTGTCCGGCGAAGGATTTCTGCTTTCTTAACAAAGATAATCCCAATCATTGTATGAGCACCATTCTCTGAATATACCCATTTGCTGTTTCAAGCGAATTCAGCCGCATTATGTCCAAGAAACCAATTATCAAGTCCAGATTACCATTACCAACATGTTTGATTAGAATACATTCGTCTCATCAGTATTTGAAGCGGAAGTCTAGCCGCTTATTTCCTTCCTTTTCTCGTTCTTCCCTGTCAGATTGGTACAAAACCCGCTCCTCGGGAGACATGGCTTGCCATTTCCTCTCCTTTTGTCTGTTCAGATGCCGCAAGAATTCACGTTGGGCGACAAACACTGCCAACGAGAGCACGCACAGAGCAATCAGTACCTTATTACCAGTGTAATAATACGGCGAATCACTCGTCCGATAAATCTCTGTTGAACAATCAGTCAACTTGCCAATATTTCAACCGGGTCATGGTCAAATCACTTACGAGAAGAAATGATCGACCCAATCTGCACAATCACATTATACGTGGCCGCCGTAATCGCTCTCTTCTTCACATCAAACGTATTCTCGGAAATCCAGGCCGACACAATCGGATGAAAATACGGATACCCGGAAATCATCGTGGAAACGGCAAACCGCGCCCAGTTATATCCATAATTCGGCAGCGCAACCAAAGCCGCCAGCAGCGGTAGAGACCAAAACTCACCGAAGAAGCAATGGAACGTCCGCTCGCCAAAGATATCACTGCTTTTGGAAACGGCAAGCATGAGAATGATTTGTAGCGCGGCGGACGGGATCGACAGCATGTTTGCGTCGAAGGTGTCAAAGCCAAGACGAGTCAGGGTGAGCGAGAGGTAGGATTGCACGGGACTTTGAGGAATGTAGGCTACTAGGCCGATGAAGTAAAGTCCCCACATTGAGGGGTCTTTCCATGCTTCAAAGATGTCGTGTAGTGTGGCGCGCTCGTTGATATGCGTTAGGCCTTTGGAGGGGTCATCGCGCAGGAGGCGCTGTTGGAGTTAGTCAGATTCTTTCAATTGGAAAAGTCATCGTTTATGAGCACTCACGTTAATCATGATCACCTCTTCGCGCTCAGAATACCACGGCCGGGGGAACAAGACACTCTTGGTATTCGTTGGGGAACTGGGAAGGTAGAAAAGACTCTGTTTAGCTGTTAGCAAATATCTCCTCTCTGTATACCTCGAGATAGAGAACCACATACAACCAACCCAATAACAAACGTAAGCAACCCATCAATCAAGAAAAGCCAGAACCAGCCCGACTTTCCCTCGACGCCGCGCATTTGCAAAATACCAGCAGCTAGCAAGGAGGAAACGATGCGAGCAACCTATATCACCAATCGTATATTAGCCCCGATTCCACATCTCTCTCTCTCTCTCTTCCTCATCTCCAAAACCATCATGCAATGGAGAGGTAGACTTACATTCAAAGTCGACCAAAAGAACGCCAATCTCACCGACAACTCCTTCGTCTTATAAAAATAAGTCGCGAAGAGAATCGTACCAGGGATAAACCCTCCCTCGAAGGCACCAATAAGCGCTCTCGTCACGTAGAACGATGCCCGGCTGGTCATCCACGCCTGCGTCCAGGAAACCAAACTCCAAGCGAGCATCATGACGGGCAGGACGCGCTTGAAGCCGAATCGCTTGATTAGAAGCTGGACGGGGAATTCTGCGGCCAGGAAGCAGACGAGTTGGATTGTTGAGCCCTGTATTTGGGAGAAAGGTAGTCAGTAGATGGGATGGTGGTAAGGGGAGAGGATGGGGATGGGGGGATATGTACGTTGTTGTAGTCGTCAGTGGTCATGTTTAGGTCTGCTAGGAAGTGATCTGTGAGTGCGTTGGAGAGATTACCGCGGTCGAGTTGGAGGCCGAAGAACTGATTTATTTTTCTATCATTAGATTTGGTCCAGTTGAAGACATATGGGTTTTGGGATGGGGTGTACCATAAAGCATATCCAGCTTAGAAGCATCAAGTCTGTTTTGAAGACGAGTTTCCTCTCTTCTTGGGGTGTCCATGTTGCTGTTGGATCGAAGCGGTGATATCCTTCGAAGGATTCGTGGGGTGGAGTGACGCCTGCGAGATGCTCCTGTCCTACTTCGATTGAGGCTTTGGATGATTGGGAGTCTTCGAGTACATCGTGGGCTTTGATGGTGCCCTTGTTGTAGCCCTGCTCGATGTCGTCGGGCATGGTTGCTCGCGGCTACTGTTTCACCACTGGATGTGGGTGATGGGGATGTGGAGAAGAGCAGAGGATTGACACAGGTAGGGTTAGAGGCGAAGCGTGGCAGAAACTTCCCATGGCTACTTATATACTTATTTCATGGTATATGCCTTAAAAGGCAGGATTTGTTGTATGGAGTATACATACTACGGAGATGGCTGCAGTGCCAATATGATTCGCGATGGCGGAAGACAATGTGGTTATTCTTCCAACCAACCATATCGGGGGTGATTTTACGACTGAATCGATACCTTTGAGCCAGAAAGAGACTAACCGGATTGCACAAGACGGATCACCGAGCACATCATCGCCTAGGGCGCCCTGGTGTGCGCAACCTGGCCATATCCCCAGCGGCACCCTGAATTACATAGCCAATAACCCTTTAGTTGCTTCGGAGAATCGCCTCGAATAAGATGGGTCCGGTTGAAGTCTTCATACCCATCTTGTTATTGCAGACAGTTGCTGAAGATCCTCGATGCGCTTCCCCGGATGCTGCTCTTTTTGCTGCAGCTCGGTAGATGGGATGGACTATTCCACTTACGGATAACCTATGTATTTCCCCAGGTTTGGCACTTTGATGGTTGTCACTATAGAGCAATTTTGCCTATGCTCAGGGAAGCTGGACAGGCAGCTGGCAAGCGCGTTCATGAGGGCACTGTTCATTCGTCGAAAGGCGATTTTAGCGGCCGGCACTAAAGCGACACAAGCTGGCAGGATGCAAGCCTCCTCCGAAAATTTCGCCGATGCCCCGCCGATAACAGCACCGTTGACTTGTGACTGGCGCTCAGGGATAAGACGAGACCCTTCCACCGTGCTGGATGCGGGGAAATGATTCATGTCACCAGATGGCTAGGAATCCGGGTCGGGTTGTCGCAGAACAGTTTGGAACATGCGACAAATGACAAAAGCAGTAGATAGCAACATTTCACTCGTGTGCCAGTCGGGTAGAGGTGGAACGATCGACTTTCCAGGCTTCTCTTCTGTCGCGTTCCCAATACTCCTCACTTATCGAAAGTGGAGATTGTTCGTCGGCAGCAGTCGTAATTCTCACAGAGACCTCTTGTGTCTGTATACCTGCTAGTATATAATCACCCGTAAATCCGTCGGAGGCCGCGGAAGTGATTGCTCCCAATTTTCATAAGATAGCCCTGCACTTGTGACAAAAGATATCAATCACTGTCAATCAAGAAATCACCATGCCGTCAGCCGTCGAGAGTGCCTCACCCTCGACAATCCGCGGAGGACACGAGGAGTCCCGTCCACGGCTTTCAGAGCCCCTACAATACTCCGGATCGTTGGACTCATATACCCAGCAAGACTTGACTCCAGTCATTGGTAGAGAGTACAAAGGACTTCAGGTGGCCGATATACTCAAGGCGGAAAACTCCGACCAGATTATCAAAGACCTGGCGGTGACAAGTATGCTTTGCTCTTATTGAAATTTCGTGGAATTTGACATATACTAACAATCGGCAGTTTCGAAAAGAGGCGTTGTTTTCCTTCGTAACCAGGATGTCACACCCCAGCAAATGAGAGAATTTGGCGAAAGGCTGACTGTTCTGGCTGGTTGCGTAAGTAATCCTGGCGATCTCCGGTATTGTCAGTGGAATAAACAGCTTATATTTCCCTCTACAGCCCGAATCATCTGGCCTCCATGTTCACCCCTTGACGGAAGAAGGCAGCGAACTCGGTGATCAAATCAGTGTGATAAGCAGCGAAAAGCAGAAGAAAGGAGGCGGTCTTACCCACCAGCTCAGCGATACGAGTCGCTTCGCCTCTGTAGGATGGCATACCGATATCAGTTTCGAGCGTGTACCTTCAGACTACGCCATGCTCAAGATTCACACTCTACCCGAAACCGGAGGAGACACTCTCTGGGCTTCGGGATACGAGATATACGACCGCCTGTCTCCTGAGATGGCTGCCTTCCTAGAGGGTCTGACAGCCACACACGATGCTAGCTTCTTCCATGACGAAGCACGCAGGCTGGGAAACCCCCTACGCAAGGGAATCCGAGGATCGCCACTTAATCAGGGTGAAGATCTTAAAGCAGTTCATCCTGTCGTTCGGACTAACCGTGCGTATCAACCATCATCTCCAAAATGGACGAGAGTGCTAATGCTTTTATAGCTGTGACCGGTTGGAAGTCCGTGTATGTGAACAAGGGATTCACTAAACGGATTAATGGGGTAACCAAGGACGAGTCCGATATGCTGCTGCAATATCTCTTCAATGTGAGTCAGAAATAACCTATTTGCCAGCAATTGGTATACTGACATTCGACAGCTCGTCACACAAAACCACGACGCGCAGGTTCGCTTCAGGTGGAACAAGAATGACATGGCCATCTGGGATAACAGATCCACCTGGCATTGCGCCACTTATGACTACGCTGAAGCCCGGGCTGGTGACCGGGTCTGCAGTCTGGGTGAAGCTCCTTACTTAGACATCCAGTCCAAATCCAGGAAGCAGGCTTTGGCAGAGGCTCAAGCTTAAGCCTAAGACTTGGTCTTGTAGGACTTGAGATTCTTTTCATGTGGCGGGTACCATAAAATATATAGTAATGAATCTTCCGTTCCTTGGTTCTCATTTGACTGGCTTCGAATTGTGGAGTGGACTGAAGGGTACAATAATTGGAAGCGATACCAACAATGGTATCGTCTTCAGTGGTATCTCGATCTGTATGACTTGTACTTTTGTGCTCGTTGATTTTGATGCTTGTTAGAGGATGATTAGATGCCATCAAGTTCTATGAGTATATAAAATTCATGTCTCTCGGCTGGATCTGCAAATCAGCTGACCCCCTCCTTCCCGTTGTGGTCTTCTGACGGTCTTACATCTCTTGGGTCTGCAACCACCTTAGTATCTATCTTCATCACACCACACATACAACATCTTCCTTTGATGTTTCATATACAGTTACATTCTAAACAAGAATACCCATTTCGGATTAAAGTACGAACCATGTCAGACAAGCTATGAAAATCCAAAGAGTCAAAGTCCAAACGCCAGAGCCCGGTCCCACACGATAACCGCCGACTAGCCAATGCCAGTTAACCAGCAAACTGTGTACGCCCAATAGTATAAAATAGTGACAAAAGATCTGAAAGTCTTTCAATGGCAAAAGGCAACAGATACCCGATCTGTCGAATTGAAGTGAAGAGTCATGTGTGAGTGCATTATGCCTGGCATGGCTCAGACATTTTCATATAATTCCAGCAAACTGTATCATGTTAGACACTGATCATATTTGAACCACCATAATCACTTACTGCTATAACCCATATCCTCGCCGAACATAACGTCATGGACATCTTCTCCATCCTTCGTTCCCGAATCTGGAGTATATGTGACGGCTGTCTTGCCCATGGAGAGCGCCATGACGGGAGGCACCTCCTGAAGCTTGATAAACTCGGGTTTGTGGTTTGAATCCTCCGATAGCATGAGCTGATGGGCATTGACGGCTGCGTGATATCCCATGTGCATTGCAGCCCCGCAACGTTTGATTCCTGACCAGGACACCATATCACCGACAGCAAAATGGGAATCGGCGTTCGGAAGGTTCTTGGGGAATTGCGTGCTACCTAAGGTTAGCTTTGGTTGAGTGATCCTTCTTCAGGGAACCTACGATGCTCGGATCTTGACGTAGCCTTCCTCAGTGAGGGCCTCTTCTGGTAGGTACGACGTTGTGGGAACAGATTTGGAAACGGCGTTCATGACATGGCCTGCATAGATAGTCCTTCCATCAGCCAGCTCAAGTTTCCAGAGCCGTCGCTCTCCCTCGGTCTCGATGGCTGTGATGTCGAGCACTCGTTGTCCAAAAATGAGCTTCACGCCTGCTTCACGCAGAATGGATCCCACACGCTCCTGGAATTCAGCCGGCAAAGGTTCTGCTGAGAGTACACGATCACGAGAGTGGATCAATGTGACCTTGCGGTTGGGATGAAGAAGTCTGAGCTCAGTTGCCATTTCAACACCAACGGCGCCTAAATTTGTCCTCGGTCAGTCATACATTGTTCAAAGTACACGACGAAGGCCAAGCTACATACCCCCTCCGATAACCACAATTCCATCCTGGGCATTGTGGATGTCATCTACGTGCTTCTTGGCTTCCTCCACAAACTCATCCCTGCGAAGAGACTGGGGGACGGTTGGGAAGACACGTCGCAGTCCTGAACTAGCAATCAGGAAGTCGTATTTCTCCTTTCGTGTTTCTTTGGTGTGGGCGTCAAGGATACGGGCCACTTTGCTTTGGCAGTCAACGGAGTTCACACTACCGCGCAGGAATCGAATGTCCGGGGACCTCAAGGCCGGAATGTCCTCGAACTTTGTCCAGGTCTTCGATGCATAATTTTCAGATGCCAAGGCTCTAGGAGTTCCAATTAAGTGATCTACAATAAGGAATACACATTAGCGATGTGAGCCGCGGACACTTCGGGGGAGCCAGATCAGTGGTGAGACTTACAAAACCCGTCACGTTCATCCACGACAGTTATTTGGATGGGAAGCTGTCTGTGCGGCGGCTGCGCATCTGGAGTCGAGTTGAAACGGGCTACTCGACCGCGAGATAGGTCAAGCAACGTCAGGGCTGCGGTCAAGCCACCGTATGAGCCCCCGACGACCAAGACGCGGAACTGTCGCGTGAAAGATGCGATGCTTGTGGCAGACGGCATTATGGAACACTTGGTGCAGGTGTTACAAGAGCGGAGATTGAAGAGAAGTGAGGGGAGGTCACGCAAATTTTGAGAAGTCAACAGGAAATAGACTAGAGGGAACAAAGTCTGGGAGTAGAGCTGCTTTTAAGCACGGAGACCGCAATAACTCCGGCGAAGAGGAGGCCACGGGAGCCGAGACCGAGGGACCGGTTCACTAACGGTGGAGCCGATTATATTGCTGAGAAGAGGCAGAGAAATTAATTGTTTCTATTTCTATCGCCGAATGAACCGAAAATCTGGCATAGACTGACGTATTTGCCGATTTTGCTGCTCAAGTCTCCACCGTTGGAAGAGATGACTGGAAGTGTACGAAGTGTCATTTCCCGCGGCATACCACGGCGTGCCTACTAGTTAGGTAGTCTATTGGGTATATCCCCAGCAAGACCCGTAATCCAGGGTGATCCGGAGGACATGGAATATTCGACACCGGATCGTGTGATTCCGGGCACTGCCAGAAATGGGTCCTCGGCGGCCAATAGGGGCCGCTCTCCACAGGGGGTCATCTTATCAGATGGAACGCCAGCGAGATCGGAACGGAAGATTTGTGAGTTGATGGTCCAAAAAACTCGAAGCTCTACGTTTTCAGCTGTAAGAATCATACAGAGAATAGGGTAGGTTTATACAAGTGAGCTTTGCCAAACTTTCTTCAGTTTTACAGACACTAATGATGTTAAAAAGTGGCTCGTCTTGCGCTGCCATCCCCGGGTCGGAAAACAAAAAAGTTATCTGATCCGCCTCTGCATTTCAGATTGACACACCTGCCGCTATTCTTTCCTAATCTAGAGTAGCGCGGCTCGCCTACTTTCGAACTCTGGCTGCCCCTCCTTCTTTCTCTCCCAATCAGTTCTCATTAAAGTTATCAGATGGAAGGTGGGTGTCTCAGTCATTCCCGAACTCGGAATTTGAAGAGGTGCCACGGGCTCCTTCAAAATTTCAACTCTTGGCTGGGTGCTCGGCGCCTCCATTGCTTTGTGCATCGGCTTGAGTGATTGCGCAAGAGGGCAGCAAGAGAAGAGAAATATTCGCCGCCGCTCATTATACTTGGAGAGGGGCAGATTCATACGTTTGGTCACAAGGGTAATACAGGTTAGCTTTATGGATGAATCGATTTCCAATCGCGTCCTATTGACAGTAACCACGTCTGCTTCTGGCTTTACCTTTCGTGCCCAATTTGGGGTTCTCCCTAATCTAGCGCATCCACTGGCTATGAAGATCAAAGAGTAATTCAAGCTAAAAAGGCCATGGCCGAGAAAATACGGGTTTACAGACGCAACTGTCGATCAGGTAGGCCAGGGCCGCAAGGGCTGGGACTACCTCGCTGGTCCCACACTCGATCTACAGCCGTAGATACTGCAAATAATATTGAAGCCAGATATACTCGAATCTGAAATAGTTAAGATACTACTAACCCCAAGCCTATTTACGTCACCGCGCGTTTAATTCAGCCCGACAACTCATGCAATTTTCACATTTCACGTACTCAAAACCACCTTGACCTATCCCCATTATGACTTACGAACAACCCGCTAGACCCAGCATCCAAATTTTCAATCACCTGGAGACACTTCCTAACACTCTCCTCGGGCTGGATCTGCCCCTTGAGCTCAGGCTCCACAAGCTGAAACATCTTCAGCAGGAGCTCATTGGCGTGTACTACTTCAGCGGGTTTCTCCCCTGTGTCACCGACTATATTAGCATCTCCCGTATCACAGTACAAAGACAATTAAGTCAAGAGCAATGGAATTGACTTACCATCCCATGTGTCAACCCAACCGGGGCTCAAAGCCAACACCTTAATCCCTCTAGGCGCAAGTTCCGCCGCATACTTTGCAACCGTGACATTCAATCCAGCTTTTGCAATAGAATATGCAACACCGCTACTAACACCAGCCTTATTGATAAGGTCTACATCTGCCATGCCGCTAGAGATGTTAACGATTTTCTTCTGCGCTCCCTTCTCGATCAGGGGAAGGAAAGCGTTCGTCGCCCATATACCGCCGTAGATAGCTGTGTTGAGCGACGGGCTGAATATATTCTGAATCGCTTGAGCATCGAATGGCAATTGGCTCGGGGTAGATGCCATGCTATTCTTGTCAACGGCGTTGGAGTTGTGGATGAGCACGTCGAGCTTGCCGTCGGTGATCGCGGCTGCGGCTGCGGCCGCCTCCAGAATAGATGTTGGGTCCGTGACATCGCCTTTGATGATGTGCACATTGGAGTGCTTGGAGGCGAGATCTGAAACGTCGGCTGATTCAGGGTTTCGCACGATTGCCAGCACTGTATTGTTTGAGTCTGCGGCGAGTTGACGCACGAATTCGCGGCCAATGCCTTTGGAGGCTCCAGTGATGGCGTATGAGGACATTTTCCGATAATGAATGAGAAGCTTAATATTAGGTAAATCTTAAGTTCAACTGAGTGAGTTCTGTCTGATGCTATTGCGTTATTCTGTCGCTATACTCGTCGACATTTATATACATTTGGCGGATTACCAACCGTCCCGACCGGACGATCCGATCCCCCCGGTCTTACTACTCCTTGTCAGCAAGCGGGAGTAAGCAACCTCATCAACCGGCCGCTCCGTTTCCCCCGTTCCCGACTCCTCACTATGCGACATCATGAGCTCCCCAATCTCTGCAATCAAAAGGAGAGCATGCGTGGCGTGCACCACCGCCAAGGCGAAGTGTACGCCACAGGCTGCCAACCTGTGCCAGCGGTGCGCTCGTCTAGGCAAGTCGTGCACGTACCTTGACCTTCCGCAGACAAAGCGTAAGCAGAGACAGAAGGCTGCACCGAGGTACTCCCTCTTTTAAAGAAATTACTTTTACAGTGCTAACGAGTAAGGATGCAGCCGTGTAGAGCTCTTAGAGAAG